TGTGCACCATTTGTTGTGATTTCACAGCAATATTAATTAATTTTTTTTTGTTTCTTATCCCCCAACTCTTCAGAACTTGTTTTCTTTGCAGCATTTTCCTCGTAGTCAGGAAGGAATCTCACATTCTTTTAGAAAATCTGACAAAATACAAACATAGAAAATTAAGTAACTGGAACATAAAAAAGCAAGTAGCCTAAGAGTTGTGATTCAGAGAACTGGTAATATCAATTTTATGATTCATGAAGGTTTTATTTAATCGGGCATTTACACATTTGTATGTGAATCTGTTACGTGACATACACCCCAGTTTGCAACAGCTTTTGAGTGTCGTGTCTGATATTCCCATACACTGCTGACAGTATGTATATTCATGAGTTTCGTAACATTTTCCTGCATTTGTGCTCATAACAGATTTCGTTTCAAAGCACCACTTAATTCATGTAGTACATGATGTGCATGTAGTACATATAATTGTTTCTCGTCTGTGTGATTATTTTGTGACACCTAGTGGATATACTGATAGTTGTGCCAGTTCAAATTTCCTTGGATTGTTTGGGCTGTCTGAATATACATTCTGACCTGCAAACTGGACTCACATTTTAAACACATAGAATTTTGATCTTTCTTTCTTACCTTCTCTCTTTTTCCCTTTTTGTTTTTTTTTTTCCTTTAAATTTGATCCTGGAATGGTTTGGTCATAATCTGCTGAACAAATACTCAGCACCCAAAAGTCTTGAGGAAATCCCATTAGTTCTAAAATGCTACAAGATAGTAAAAATTTGAAAATTTCATGATACTGGTAAATCAGAATCTCAATATGTGCAATGTGTGATCTTCACCCCTCAGCTTTTTCTACTGTATCAACTTTTCTACATAGTGGAGTAGAAGTTCCCTGTGGAATTGAGCATGTGTTACATAAAATTATGAAAGGTTACAAAGAAGTACTCAGACTTTTCACCCTTTGAGAGCTAATAGAAATCCAGTTCTTTTACAGTTCATAGAAAATGAAATGTGGTAAATAATTAAATTATTATTCTATAAACATGAGAATATATTTAAAATACTTACATCAGTAAATATAGTCTAGAAATGCCTTAAATGTGTGACCCATTTTCATGACTAAGATATATCATATGAAGTATATCTTAATTTACATGTCGTGGATTCTGAGCCTGAAGCTTATTTTGAAGTCATTCATCCTGCAGGCAGAGTTGAATTACTGTCTTGTGTGTATACTAAAAATGCTGGGAAATAAGAAAGTCAGTATTTTCATATGCCTGGTTTTTATGTTCATAAAGGGAAAGGAAGTTTGTTTTTTTGGACAGTGGCTTCAAGTCTGCTTGCTCTGTTGGTGAGTTGATGCTGTTGGTGTGCATATTTATAACTTAATAGGTGATATGATATATTGCTTTCCCAATAGGTCCTAAATTCTGGCATACCAGAGAAGATGCAGAGCAATAGCTCACATGATAGCTAGGATACAATTTTAGTAGTTCTTAAAAAGGATCTAAAAGGAACTGTGAAGTACATTTATTTATAGATAAAAGATTGTGTATTTTTTATATTTGGGGAATTTGAACTGAGTTATCCAGAAGACATAAATTAACTTTGAAGACCATCTTCAAAATTTTTCTGTTTTACCTTGGCACTCTTCACAGAAAATTTCTGTTTCCACTCCCAAAAGGCTTCAAAATCAGAAAATGCAATACTAAACTGTGTCTTTAATAGCAGCTGATATGGCATTCTTTTCCTGTACTCTTCACAGTTGCTCATCATAACATTTCTCCTGTGACTTTGGTTTATGTAAAGTTAGAGCCTGTAGCAACAACATCATGAATAATGGACACAAAGTCTGTAACACATCATTGAATGCTGGCAAAGATCCGCTTACTCTCCACCACCTGAAGCCATGGTTCGAGTTCATTAATGAGTGTTTAACTAGTGAAAGCTTTAGTCTCAAGTAAAAAGACTTACACTGGGGTAAATGTATTGAGAGTCTCAGTCACCTGAGAAAACCAAAGGTTGTACAGAGGGCAGAAAGCAGGCAGAGCTGTGTGTCTGGCCACCCGAGCTCCTTGCCTGCAATTCATGAAGAGTATTTATTGTGCAGATATGTGCCATATCGGTGTCACTGCCCCAGTCACCCCAGGGCACTCCAGATTCCTAATTCGACTCCCTTGGCACACATATCTACAGCAGCTGCCTCCCTTGCACTTGACATCAGCTTGCTGTGCTTGAAGTATCCCTGCAGGTCATCATGCTGATGGCCAGCACAGTCTGGGATGCCTGGTCCCACAGGGGAGTGGAGACTGCAAGTGAGGGTGCAACAGCCCTGGCAAGGATCAGCAACTTTTGGTGATTTCCCTCCTCTCTTTTTTAAGGTTTGTGCTATGCAAACCTGAGCTGGGTCTTGGACTGGGCTTTGTATCGGATGGCTAATGAGACCAGTAATCTCATTAACTTGTGCAGAGAGTGTATGTATAAGCCTTCTTTCCATTGACAGTAACAATAACTGATCACAATAACCAATCAGAGCAGGGACAAAAGAGTTGTGGCAAAACCACATGTGTATATTTTGAATCATATTACAAAAGAGTAACAAAGCTGCTATTATACATAGAGGTCATCTGCTGGTATCCAAAGAAAAACGCTAATTGGAAAGTAAAAGGCATCTTAATAATTAGCAGCATTGTTAGCAGTAAGGTCTTTGAGGTTGCCAGGACTTGTAGATATGAAACATGAAAGCCCAGTTCAGGCTCCAAAAGGAGGGCTAAGGGTGAAGACAAAAGGCAGAACATGAACCAGACACAGCTGTGTCAGGAGCAATCACATCTCCAGAAGCTGAGGCATGCATGCAGTCTTCAGCTGTGTGAGTGGGGAGGCTCAGCAGAGGCCTTTGCTTCCATGTCCCTTAACAGGTGGAGTTCTCTCACTGTCACCTGATACACCATGGGAAGGTGAAGCCTCATCCCTCTCTGTGCTTAGCATCCCCTTCCAGTGTGTTTCAGCACTTATGGCCCCATAGAAGTCTCCTGTGGGTGGAGGTGGTATGTTGATGCAGCCTCACAATGTTAGTTTGGTCCCTGGTGAAACAGTAGTAGTTCCTTATACAGGCTGAACTGGCTGTGAATTTAGGACTGCTTAGGGTTTTAAATAATGTGGATTGATTATAGTCTAACACAGTCAGTGTAAATACTTCTGCTTTTGCAAGTAAACTTCTTGTTCGGGTGTTTAACCTCCAGAAAGAAAAATACAAGTAACCAGAAATAACCAGCCCAGTGCAGTTATAGTTTGTAAGGACTGCATAAGTATTTTCTCTGTCTTAATGTACATAGACTTCCAGACTTCTGCTTCACCATCAGGATGAAGCTTGAGCATAGCAGCTCAAGCCAAATGCAGTCCAAACCTCAGAATGCTGTTCTGAGGTGGAATTTAATTTTTGACTTTTAGCAGTGTTTTAAAACAAACATACTATATGTTTTGCTGGTTTTATGCCAGTTTTTCACATAATGCTATCCACAATTCTAAATATTGCACGTCTGAAATGATCATGACAGATAGAACTGTTTACAAACTTTGCTTAGCTGATATAATACAACGTTATTCTTTGTTAGCACTTCCTTAACTTTATCGTGATTGTGTCAATAACAAATAAAAGTGTGCATAGGTGTAAATACAAAATTGTAGAATAAATCTATATAAACCTGAGTTATTTAGATGACTGGTCTAACCCTGGGTTCCAAACTACTAATTTCCTCAGTACTACTCATAAACTGCCTTATCTCACTAAGGACTAAAATTTAAAGTGGGAGTGTTATTTATGGTGCAAAAGACAAAAGACAAACCTGTTTTGTCTACAAACCAGAATTATTAGTGCAACTGCATTTCTGTAACGTGAAATTTAGTTTATTGATGAGACTTAGAATGTATTATTCCATCTGACATTCTCTCTTGGTGCTTAATTAAGTCAGAACTTACATATACTGTTTTACTGCACAGTTTAGAACAAAAAAATAGTTTCCAAGCATTTAAATTCTTCTCACACTGAAAATCTGGCTTTCCTGAAAAGGAATTTGCAGTGAGGATGTCAGTTTCTGAGAGAACATCAGATTAACAGTTTTAACAATATCTTGTGTCTTTGGTTGACATTATTTTCCTGGTTTACATGAAGAACTGCAATTAATAAAGGTTGTGATCAGTGATAGCACATAGGCTAGATGTGACATTGTATGAATTGCACCTGTTAAAAAGCCAAGTCTAGTTAACTTAAGCATATACCTTATTTAAGATTCTCTGTGTAGTGAACACTTTTTTTCTATCAAGAAGTGCTTGGAAACATTACTCAAAATAATTGTTTGTGTTATGGCCAAGTATATATAGTGAGATGGGTTGGAAGATACTGATCCTGATTGTTCCTGCAGTTGGACTTGTTATTTCCACGGGGAATTGGGAAAGGTGTGATTTTGAAGAGCTAGGCGTCACTTACAAAGAAAAGATAGGGTGCATATTTTATAGTGTCAGATTTCATATTCAGCGATATTAAGCAAATCCAGGTGACCTCAGCTGAGGAGACAGTTCTTCAAAAAAAAAAAAAAAAAAAAGATCCAGTAATCAACATCCTAAAACAAAAATATTTGGGGGGAAGGGAGTCATTGGTATTTCACTTTTCTATCACCTATGTGAAATATAATCTGAGATAGTGCATGGGGATGAATTATGAATGTTTAGGAAAGAAGAAAAGGGTTATGTGCAGGTTTTATTCTTTGCTGTCTCTGACAAGAGAAAATAACACTGACATTATCTTAGCTTTTTTCTTAACAAGAAACAATCCCTAATTTGTCACAGCTTCACCTCCTCTTCCTGCAGAGAGTCATCTCCCTGATAAGCCAGTCCTTGCTTTTTTGCCTTCATGCTTGGTGAGGTATGAAAAGTGCCTGTAACGTTTGTTTTTTGTAAGACACATCTCGCTTACTCATGGTGGCTCTGCCCTTCCTACACAGGCTTTGTCTCCCGTGGATCCTGGCCTCACCCCATTTTCCCCCTGGGATCTGCTGAATGTCATTTCTGCCCTCAGGAGCTGGGAAGCACTGCTCAGGCTGAGATCCTGCTGCTGCTGCTCCCACAGATGTCCCTGTCACGCCTGGCAGCCGGCTTAGGCTGGGCAGAAAGCCCACCAGGGCCAGCACAGCAAATCAGCTGGTAAGTGAGCAGACAGAAAAATTAGGCTAGGAAAACATCAAGGGCAAATATTTAAGTTGTACAAACAAATAGCTCCTAATACACCAAACAGTTCTGCTTTCTTATGGAGTTTATTTAAAATAAAAACAAAGCAGGTGTCTCTTTAATTATTGATTTGCTGAGGAATACAAGTGCAACAGACAAAGTAGCCAGTGGTTAGCTCTGGTTTAGCTTCTCTTTTTATGGAAGCTTTGAGAGATGCTGAATGTTTTTATCATTCTGGGTAGTTTTGCTTATTTTTAGCATTCGGAGTATTACATAAGCAGAACTCAGAAATAAATGGAATAGAAGAATAAAATATGTCAGTGTAAGTGCTACAGTTTGCATAAACAGAAGGTATGATCTGACATTGAAAAAAAACAAGGTGCTGCTTTGATAGAAAATGATCTTTTTCCTACTGCATGTCCTTTTGAAGTATCTGTTTATCATTCAAGACATTTCACAGTGGTCAGGGTAAGAAATGCTTGACATACATTTATGGAACATGTCTGTGAAGGTGCAGAACCCCTTTGATGTACACCCAGCTCCAGCTCCTTGTCTTTAATTCTAGCCAGATTCTTGTACACCCATTCAGTAGGTTAAAGCAGCAGTTATTAAGCATGTTCCATTTTTATGTGACACTGTAAACCTTTTATGAAAAGTGTTACATAAGCATTACTTATGTGGAGGAATTTAAGTGAAGTTAGAATGAGTCCACATGAGAGTATGGAAGCCCTTATACAGGTCTGCAGTTGTAAGGCTGCAGTGTGTCAGATGTAATTACTTGCACTGATGTATGTTTTTATGTGCTGTTGCCTTTTTTACCCCATATCTAGAATGTTCAAGGTTTTAGGAACATCCATAAATTACTACAGAGCTCAGAAACACATATTCCACAGAGTTCTGGTATAACAGCTACTTTTTGCCAAATTTTTCTGAACAGTTTGATAAAGAGGATGGTTTCAGTGACCATGTGAAATTATTTAATAGAACTGTGTTACAGCACCTATAATGTTCTGTGCAATAATGAAAGTTAAAAAGACAAAATAATGTGACTAATTTTAATAGAATTAGGGCTCAGTACAGTCAGTTGCTTCTAAATTCTGTTCTAATGTGAAATTTAGACAAACAATTGAGTGTAGTAGACTTGATGCTGTGAATATTTCCTATTGTGCCCCTCTGAAGCTGCAGCAGAATCCATCCTAATTTATAAAATTATGGTAATGTTTTACAATTTGTGAAAGAACTGTTGTTGCCAGTCTTAGAAGCAGCTGTGTTTCAGTAATGGATTAAGTCACTATATACATCGTGTTTCACAGGAGTTGCAAAATCTGTGTTTGTAAAATACTTTTCACTTTTTGAAGGATGTAATCTACATGAAAATGTAGTGTGTTATTTTTGTTATATTTACTTAAAAGTAGACCTGGAAATATTGTATGTGAACTTTGTTACATGTAGATCTCAGGAGATGATCTTCTCTCCTCCGACTAGCTTCTGTCTGAAATCTTCAGAACAGTTACCTGCCATGGTACTGCTGTCTGGCTTGACAGCACAATGTATCAGCTTCATTTTCTGCTCAGAGGCTGTTGGACTCAGTCAGAAAGCTTCCCGTGGTATCAGCATCCACAGTAGTAGAACCTCCACCATTTACTCTGCAACCACTCTCATTAGCACAAGATTGTGACATTTATAAATGAATGAAAAAAACAGCCTACAGGAGCACAGTGGTGACTGGACACCACTTTGGAAGCCAGAAAATAGTCATGATGTGGAAACAAGCTGGAAGCCACTGATCAGACCTGCATGCATCCCCTCAGCCTTGCAGGGTCCCTTGGGGCTTGCCTTGAGCCACACATTTCTCTACTGCAGTCTCTGTGCACTTGCTCACATATGCACCTGGGGCATTTACCTTCTTCCTGGGAGCACAGGGAGGTTTTGCGTTTGCAGATCATTCCAAGTTTTTGTGTGGAATGTGCTCCAAAAATTGCAAAGTGCTTGTTCTGTATTGTCCCAGAGTTTGTTAATTATTAAGGCTTTTAATTATGTTAATTTAATTAACAATTCAACTTTAAAACTGTCATCTTTCGTGTTGCATCATAGAAATAGCAGAGTTGGCTCTGCACCTTTTTAATAGCGACTGCTAAGGTATGTATTAACATCTGTTCCAATACATTTTTCACTGAACATTGAGAGAATATGGAAATGTCATATTTTTCTTAGTATTAAGCAGTTGCTAATACTACAAACTCTTGCCAGATATTTTGTTTGCATGTCTTCTTCATAGAAAATGAGCATGCACTTTTCTTTCATTAAGTATTTTAAAGTTCATCCTTGTTTTGTGACCTAATCAATTGAAGTGAGTTTATGAGCAGCTTGTGAGAGCAGAAGAATGATTAATTTTGTGTTGAATAAAGTGCATTCTTTTCCATTTTTATTTGCTAATGAATACATTAAACTGTTCATACCCATAATAACAGATCTTATAGAAAATAGTATGACAGAAAGCTTATAGCAATTTATAAATAACTCAGTATTTGTAAACTAAATTATTACTTTTTATGTGGCAGATTATACATTAAGGCAATATTATATCAGAACTTCATATATTGAAAAAAATCTTCAACATTATCAAAAGCTTAGCTGTATTTACTAGAAATAAGTGAATCCTTTTGAAATGTTCCTTAAAAATGCAGCATTTTTTCAAAAAGGTGAATTTCCTTTCTCCTAATGAGAAATGCACCTATGAGTGAAAGTAAAGCCAAGGTATGCTACAGATAGGCAGCAATGTAAATCACTACAACATGCTTAGGCTTTCCAAAATTTTGCCACTGTCTGAATCTGTGTTTTCACTTCTGCCATTGGAATCACTGGAGTCACTTCAAGTTTAGAATTTCCATCTGAAATTTCCAGTGATTTGAGTCTTCTGAGGAGCTTGGGCTTTTCACTACTGTGAATATATCATTTTAATGCCTTTGAACTGCTTTCGCTGGACTATTCAGCATGAAGAGCAGCTACACTGAAGGTTACTTTGTTTTTCTTCTTTCACCCTAAAGGAAATGCTTATTCAGAAGTCTCATTTTGAAGTAAAACACAGCGTACTCAGCTTTCCTCCAATTATGTTACATAATGCTGATTTATATATAAGGATGGGTTTTGTTTCTGTGAGGTGACTGCACAGGCCACAGGTACTCACTCACCTGGCGGTTCCAAAATTCACCAGCTTCTACACTGACTTTCAGCCAAAGCTCCTGTATAAATTGTGAAGTCCTAACACTGAAATCTCTGACCACACACATAAAGAAGATGTTTAATTTTAAACATTTTATGTAAAAAAACAGGGACAGGATAGTTCTGTGTTTGTTTGCTTGTTTGGTTTTTTGGTTTGTTTGCTTTCCAGAGGATTATTCAGAAAGGAACGGACTTTGCCAAAAAAGCTCACTCTCAGAAAATGCAATTTTTAAACCCTTAAGTATATAGAGAAAACTATGGAACTTTGTGCTGCAGAACTTTCCAAACGACTTCCTTTGATAGTAGTTACTAGCTTAAGAGGTTTTGAAATGTCTCTTGCTACTCTTTTTGTATAGTATATGAAGAATATCTACTGTGATCTTCAGTGCCATTGGTGTTGCCAGTTGTAAATTCAGAGTTGTTCAGCATTTTCTCCAATATAGCTGCCTGAGAGAGGACAGTTGCACCATTGCAGTTTGGTGTCACAAGTATGTCCCATGTACAGGTTGCAGCAATCAGTAGCCTCTTCCTACAGGTGGCTGCAGTCCGGTGTAGTTAAGTGATCTTTGAAGCTCACAGTGTAACATTGCCTGTTATAGATTAGCACATTGCTATGTAACTTGGTTAGGCATTTGTGTTTTCCTTCCTCCTCTAGTTTCTTTAGAAGTGTGTTTTTCCCAGAAAGTGAAGAAGCAAATACTTCAGTAAGTCAATCTGAAAAAAAAAAAACCCAAAGCCTACAACCTTTTCTGTTTTTCACTATTCCTTGTCTCTTGTCTTTTTCAGATTACGGGTGCCCCCTGGGGACCAATCTGATGGAATAATAACAACGGAAAGAGAAAGCTGGTGCTGTGAATGGGCCTCTGAGAAAATGTACAGAGAAGCTGCTGTCTGCTTTTTCACTGGCTGTCACTCACCTTATAATTGTTTCAATGTGCACTGAAATGAAGTTGAAACATGCGTGTTTTCTCTTTCTGCATCCCGATTTTGATTGTGCTAAGAGCAGTGGAAGATCCCATCAGTTGCCCTGAAACATGACCTACCTACTTTGGGGTGAGATCTGCTTTGTTGTAAAGGATGGCTCTAGTTTTTCTGTGTGTATCATGTATTCTTGTCTTTAATTTGCAATTAACAAAAACAGGTTTTGCTTGGAGAAGGCTCCAGTAAGTCCTCGTTGTGGCCTTCCAAGACTTGAAGGGAACGTATAATCAGGAGGGGGAATGGCTGTTTACGAGGGTGGACAGTGATAGAACAAGTGGGAATGGTTTTAAACTGAGACAGGGGAGTTTAGGTTAGATATTAGGAGGAAGTTTTTCAAACACAGGGTGATGACACACTGGAACAGGTTGCCCAAGGAGGTTGTGGATGCCCCATCCATGAAGGCATTCAAGACCAGGCTGGATGTGGCTCCGGGCAGCCTGGTCTGGTGGTTGATGACCCTGCATACAGCAGGGGGTTGAAACTAGATGGTCTTTGATGTCCTTTTCAACTCAGGCCATTCTATGATTCTGTGATTCTAAATTAGCTTTTGAAGTTGGAGTACTTGCTTGAAAACTTTATTTATTTACATTACAAATATGGACTGATATCATAGTTTTTGTCACTTGTTTGGATTTTTCCTGAGTGCAATGTGCATCAAACCAGATGGTGGGGAGTGACAGCACCCTCAAACTCTGGTGTTGGTGTGAGATTATGATACAGTAGTGGCAATTTTGCTAGTCATATTAACCAATGTCTGTGTATTACAGTAGGGTACATTTAATTTGGCCATTGATTCAGTGGTGAGGTACTGTCCTTTAGAAGTAGCATGTTGCTTAAGTAAGCCATAATACTTTCTGACAGTCAGCAAGTTCTTGGTTCAATCTTAAAGATTTACCCATGCAGAACTTGGGAAAGTCAGTAAGAGAAACTGAGTTTTTCTCCACTAGGATAACAGAGGAATACCTAGGGGGCAATGCAGAACAAATCCCTCTAATTCAGCATCTATTCTCTAAGTCACTGTGATGCCATTCTTTAACAAACAAAACTGGTTTGTTAAGATGCAGTCATGTCAGAACTGGAAGTACAAAAGTGCATTTATTAAAAATGAATTCCGTATCCTCTTCCCTCTTGTGTATCTTGTCACTGACATGACTTCACATATTGCAAATCTATTAAGCTTTTAAAACATGAAACTAGAGCTCATTAAGCAAAATGTCAACTGGTGTATAGCAAACTCTTTCAGAACTAAGACTGATAATGTTTGTCTCCGGAGTCTTTTGTCTTCTAGGTCATCAGCAAGTCATCCAGCTTTCTGGAAATAAAGTTTGTGGTTTCTCTGATCGGAGTCTGACTGTCCTTTGGGGTGAGGTAGTAGGTTGTATAGTTTTAGGGTTATGCCCTGCCTGTCAGATAACTATACAATCTACTGTCTTTCCTGAAGTGGCTGTGATATCATCGCTGGATATGTCTTCAAAATGCAAAGCAAATGTATTTCAACTGTAACATTCTCTGGCTCTGTCTATACGTTGGTTTTGGTTCTTACGAAAGAAATGTCCTTAAAGTGTTTGAATTCCTCTATCGTTTGGATTGGAAAGCAGTTTCCTTTTTTTCATCTTCTCAGAGAAAGTGGGGTGTCAGAGGGCACAGATTTATCTTAGTCTACAAGGTTTGTTTATGCTCAATTTTCTCCATCTACCAGTGTGCTCACAGGAGTGGCCATTTGGAAAAAGGTGATCCATTACTTCATTTCTTTGTGGCATTTGTATTTATATTCCACCTTTTTTAAGTGCCACTTTTTCAACAGTTATGTAAATGCATCTAGCATAATTTGAGAACAAGTGATGACTTGGATAATAATACAAAGAAGATGTCTCATTTTCTGCTCTTGAACCAGTAAATGCTTGACCCCTAAGGGAAGAGATTTTTTAAAATCAATTTTTGAATTGTGATTTGACCCATGTTTTATTACATTGTACAAATTTGGGAAGGAGAGTGCTTTCCACTGCAGTTCTTCTGTCTATAGAGTCACCCCACCAATTCTGATGGACTTCCAGGAAGAAATCTGAGGAAGGGCTGACAGGACATAATTATGCTCTTTTTGAGGCTAAGAAATGTGGGCTAGAAAGTGTTTAGGGGATCTTACTTATGGTAGGTGAAATGCTAGTTTGCTTCAGAAGATCCGCCTGGTGCTCTAACAGGATGAGGTAGTAGGTTGTGTGGTTTCAGGGTAGTGATTTTGCCCCAATCAGGAGATAACTATACAACCTACTGCCTTCCCTGATAGGCAGCATAACATCAGTATCTTAATTCACAGAAAAACCAGAGGCTAAAATAAACTTCTGTGACCAACAAAGTAAGTCTACATACAATTGTTGTTACCCAGTCCCTAATACATCTAACTTCAGTGTCTGGCATTATTTTTAATAACTGCCTACAAAATAATTATCTCTTTTAAGGTCTCTATGGGAAAAACAGAATTAAAAAAGTTCTGCTATTCAAGAGTTTGTCTGTTCTTGATTTCTTTTGTTTCTGGTTCATTTTAGAGGATTGAAGTTTTCAGGGAAATGATTCAAAAAATGCTGTGGACTTGCATTCAAGTTGTTCATATTTCCTGGACATTTTAGTTTGAATGCAACAAATTTTACTAGCAGCGTGCTGTTTTTGTTCAGCCCTCTGTCCCCCTCAGGAATCTTCCAGTGTTTTACAAATAATTGTCACACAGCACTCTTCAGCAGATCAATTTTGTACTACAGATAAAAAGCTGTGATGATGAAAATCAAGGACCAGATTGAAAAGACAAAAACAGACGTTGATTTTGTATCCTCACTTGCTCATTTCATCTCATCAAAGCAGTCTCCTTTCATGGCATTTAAATAGTCCTGAAAGTGAATTTGCTGACTACCTAAAAGGCACAAATTGTACCTGGAAAATCATGGCCAGGAAATGTGAGTTGGGTCCATTAAAGGCATTTTGAAATACAAACTGTAGTCTTAATGCAAAAAAAAGAAAAAGAAAAAGGAAAAAAAAAAAAACAAAAAAAACCCACCCCAACTGTGGAAATAATTTTTTCCACATGCAAAGCTTTTCAGGAAATGGGAATCATGTAAAACTGAATGTTAACTTAAGATCAGAGGTTTCAAGCTGGTTGCATAGAGTCAGTCGTGTATATTTTAATTATACAGCATCTGATTTCTGTAAATTGGAAAGTAAATTTGTCATATCTGTAGCTAAGCAAGCCCAGATCCATGGTTAGAGCGAATAAACTGATACTATGTTCAGCAGCAGAACTGGGTATTTCATTGCTTCTCTCATCCAAAAATATCACACATAGCTGGACTCTGAGGGTTTTTGAGGTCAATGAACGCTTCAAAACAAGGCCATTTGTTCATACCGTTGATAAACAGTTAGGAATGTCATTTGACTTGTGTTCGTAGAGATAAAGGCAGTTGGTAGAAGAGGAAAGATTACTCTGTGTCTGAAAAACTCAGGAGAATAGGCGATACTGTGGCTGGTTTTAATCTTCTCATTGTTTAAAGAGGATCTCTTAATTTAAAACTGCTGTGAGGATACTTGCCGTGCTGGCCATGTTCAAGGGCTCTGGGATTCTGAACTCCTTCTTCTGCTGGAAATGCAGGCTCTCAGCTGCAGCAAAATCATCTTAGATGAGTGTGAGCAGAGATTGCACCATGTGTAGCTTAAAACGTGCTGCTACGCTCCAAGATGCAAAACTGTGTGGAAATTTCTTGCTTAGTTTTACATTCAGTAAATACATAGCAAATGTTCCATACCGGTGAAAGGGGTAAAAAGAGGGAAAATGTTCTGCACGTTCTACCACAGCCTGTTAGATCTCTTCCCTGAAGTCACTTTAAAATCTTCTGGCTCTGTCTGGATCAGCATTGTATTCTTGGGAATGAGCTGTGAGTTTTCAGACTCTAGTCATCCTGGCAATCGTGTTAAAACAAAGGGCCAAAAGAATCCGTGGTGTTTGCTGCACTAGGATCTACGTGTGCCTGTATTGAGCAGTATGTGAGCCTACGGTTAATCAGGTCTGGCCCTAGCAGTAGGCGTCATTACAGCTAATGGGAACTGCGACAGAAACTTGAAAGCACAACTCCATGGTGCCACATGTTTTTCAGAATTGTATGCAGAAATGCTTGTATCAAAACATAAGTAGTAGCTTCAGCTGGAATTCTTATTAAAAACAAGGGTGTTTTTTTAAACTCAACACAGCATTAGTTCTTTCTGAGGTCATGCACTGTTCTGTGGCACTCATTAAGTGAGAGGAAAGCACGCAATCATAAGCTACATAATGTGTGATTTTATAATCTGTGTCTGCTTGTTTGTTGTTTTGGGTTTTTTTTTAGTGTAACAGCACTAACTGATGAGCAGAAGCTGAGTATTTCCTGCTGGAATGAAGCCTGTACATTTGGCTACAGCAGGCCAGGTGAAAATCAGTGCTCACAGGACTTTCTGGGAGGCTGGGATTTTTGTAGAATCATGGAATGAATCATAGAATGGCCTGGGTTGAAAAGGACCACAGTGATCATCTAGTTTCAATCTCCCTGCAATGTGCAGGGTCACCAAGCACTAGACCAGGCTGCCCAGAGCCACATGCAGCCTAGCTTTGACTGCATCCAGGGACAGGGTATCCACCACGTTCTTGGGCAGGTGGTATTAGTTCTCCTTTTCTGCCTTGGAGAGGGAGGGTACTTTTTTTTTGAGACAAAATCGGTCACATAGACAGTGAAACCATCAATCAAGTTTCTGCCTTGAAGGCTACTGCTCACAGGTTTTAGATCTCTGTCTCGTGGATTTGTGGAACATTACACGTCTTCTTTGAGCCCATTCAATAGTGCCGTGTTTTTGGGTTTTACTTTAACATGCAAATCTCCCTATTCTCCTAAAACAAATGCCCAGCGTGAAAATTTTGTCTCAATTTGATAACAGACTAAAACAAATGAAAACGTTTTCAGACCAGCTGGATAACTCTGGCAGAAGTGTGTGCTGCCAGCTGTAAAAACTTTCACTGTTGCTGTGCATGAGTGCTACAAGTTGCACACTGTGAGACTGTACCTTTGAGGCTGCCCTGAGAGGGCAAAAGCCTTGAACACAGAAATAGCCCCTGAGATCTTCCCTGAAAGGGCAAATTAGGAAGGAGATTTATATAGGGAGTGGATCCAGAAATGCAGTAAGACCATAGCTGGTATGCCAGCCAGTGTCATTACAGATTCAGCATGACATACCAAATTGCTATACAGGAGTCAGAGAGCTGGTGAAAAATGCCTGTCTTCCTTGTGCTTGCAGAGCTTCCCCATCTGCTCCTAGGACTGTGCTCCAAACAAGAGACAAGTATTACATGAGAACTAAATTTCTAGAAGGAGTCATCTGTGATAATACACACCGTTCTGAGAACCGGAGGTCTGAATTGTAATTACCGTGAGTGTAATTGTGCGCAGCAGTTACTTTAGAGATGTCACAGCAAAAAGCTGTTTGGGCTTGGAGGTTTTCTGTAACTAATGCTATACAGTTCTCAGAATATGAATACATGCTAGTTATGGGAATAATGGTTGCCAAGATTACTAAAGGAATCATTTCTGTTGTGGAATACATAAGCAAATCAAAGGTGGGAAGGTGTGGGAGGGACAAAAGCCAAGTACCATCAGATGGCCTTTTGAGCAGGAATATACTATCTCTTCCTCTCAGCAGGCTGATGGATGCAGAAGTCAGCTGTAAGCCAGCCTGGCAGGGGCAGGACAGCAGTTCCAAAGGCTGCCTCAGGCAGCTCCCGGCATGTGCTGCACTGCTACATGGTGAGCAGAGGCATCAGTGCCCTGCAAATGATGTGCAAGGCATGTTTAGATCCCCACGTCTTTCTCTGTTGTGCTTTTTACCTGTAGCTCTGTACGTTGGTCTGAGTTAATAGGTGAGTTAATGCACTTCATAGAAACGGGAGAGCTGAAGCTCTTTCAAGTGTATACTTGATACCTACAGGGATCTAGAACTCGGTGACTTAAATGTCCAGATCATAGAAGAAAAATCAGTGCCAGCACTGCTAAAAAGGCAAGACAAAGGCATCAAAAAACTAGGCCTAATGTCCCTCTGATTTTCAAGTAGATCTGTGTTCCTAAGTCACTTTGGCACTTTTAATCATCTAACATTTAACAATTATGATTGCCAGTTGTGCTCAGCATTTGATCATAAGAAGGCTTTTGTCTGGTTGCTGAACACTGCTAAGCATTGTCTCCAGCACAGATCAAAACTGGATGAGACACCAGTTGAGACAACCAAGTTGTAACCATGTTGCCTGATGTGGCTTATTTTTGTATTCCAGCCAGGGCCTGGCTACTAGAGATTTTCCCTGTCCAGCTTGCATATTCAAACGTGAACAAGTGTATTTCCATTCTCGAGGAGCCCAAGTGAGATTTCCCAATGCAAACAAAGGCATTAGCCTTTTGAAAAGGTCTCTCAATCAACTGAAAGTGTGCAGCGGTTTGCATATTAGTGCATGTTTTTAATTAACGCTTGGAAGAGAGAAATACTTGATGCACTTACAAGTGACACAAATAAAAGCACCTTTCATATATTCTCATTGTAAACATCTAAGCTGAAAATAAAGTAATTTCTGATTTCTGATCTGACTGAAGGCAGTTGGCATTTACATAGGTCGTTCCAAAAGTAAGGCCTCCTATTTATTTCCATGGAAACAATAGAACTGTTTGATAAGAGCAAATTCTCAGCTACAAAACACAGTCTTTCAATATAATCACAACTATTAGCTATGCATTTTCACCAGCAACGAACAAGAATCTTCATGCTGTGTTCATAAAAATCTGCACTAATGGAGATGGCCCACTGTTTCACAGCTGCTGTGGTGATGTTGTTGCTAGGAAAATGTTGCCCATGCAGTCCATCTTTCCTCAGCCCAAACAGATGGAATTCAGAAGGCACCAAATCTGGACTATGCTGGGAGTATGGTAGGACAGCCTAACCACAACAGGCAGTGTGCTGCACAGTCTTCAAACTGAGGTTATGGTGTTAACAGTGTTGCAAGATAGAGACTGCCTTCTCTCGCCTGACTTTGGAAATTCAGGCCTTCAGCTTTGTCAGCATCACAGTGTGGGAGGCAGTGTTGATGGTTTGTCCGGGTTCCAAGAAATCCAGAAGGATCACTGCTTTCCTATCCTAAAAGGTAATGCACATCACTTTGCCTGCTGAGGGCTGCATCTCGAAGGTTTTCTTTGATGGGGGCTTTACGTGTCACCATTCCATGAACTGCTGTTTTGACTACTGTTGGCACTATGTGTTGTCACCAGTAATGATGCAATCCAGGCAACTGTCACCTTTGGCTTTGTGTTGGTTCAGTAGGTCCTGAAAAACTTGCATACGGTGTTGTTTCTGTTCCTGTGTATTTGTGGGACTCACGTGGCTCAAACTTTGCAATGTTCCAACATTGCCACCATTGTTTCCTACACATTAAAGCTGATATTCATCTACATACACA